TTCTCAGAGGCGCTTAGAGGTTTTGCGACTTGACTTATTCACAACACGAAGCCAAAAGGCTCTGTGCCGGAGTGCGAGGAATGCGTTTCTCTTATCTGTGCGGCGCTCGGGATAGAAAAATCTGATCGATGTGGGAGTGTGGCGGCGGCGCATCGGATTGCAAATGTTCCAATCGTCGGGAGGCTTCCACTAAGCATAACTCCACCCAGTGTGGCTTAGGGCGGCCGGCCCTATTGGGTCCCCTGCTGCGGCGATACGCCGCTGACGGCATCAAGGTGGCTTGGGTTTCAAGAGATTCGGGTTGGCGATATAAACGGCCTAGTGAGGTGAGGCGGTTTTGGGAGTACATCTGAACAGGGGAAATAACTCGCCTGGAAGCGAAAGCCAAATCGGCTAAATATTGGTTGGAACTTGGAACATTGGGTGGAGGAAGGGGTTGAGAATCCTATGGTAAGAAAAGGATTTTATTTTAAAAACTCTGCATTTATAGTGAATAGAGTCCAGTTGAGGAGAATACTATCCATAGCAGACTAATAAGGATTGATTGGACCACAGATTTATACACCAGGAGCTTCAAATTGGAAGGGAGCTGCCCGTGTTTCAGGAGCTGCCCGTGTTTCATAAGTGGGGCCAGTTTCTTAGAGGCTTCCACGGCGCGGGAAACTGGAGTAGAAACATTCTTGTGATTGCTGGAGCGTAGGTATACCCTTACATATTTCATTGCGTCCGGCAGCGGGACTTGGAGGTCTTCCACTGGAGGAAGGAGACAGCAGGGTCAAAATTAACTCTGTGGACGGGTTTTTGGCGAAGATGGAGTCACACTTATCGTAATTTAAATGCAGACCTCGCCGGGCTCTTTTTTCTGAGCAAGATGGAGAAGGTGTCGGACTTGAAATGCCGATGTAGACAAAAAAGTGCGGTGTCATCCACTTGAGGTCCCAATGAAGCGTTCCTAATTGGGCGGAGTGCCCCCGAAATGAGGCCGTGAGTCTTTTCATACTCGTGCTCAACATCCTCAAAGAGGTGGGTGAGAACGAAACTAAACAAGTATGGGGAAAAAGGGCACCCTTGGAGGAGGCCGCAGGCTTGCGTACAGCGAAAGGAGGAAGTCTTGCTATCCTTGCCAACAACAGTAGGGTTTTGATTCGATAAAGAGAGGAAATGGCCTCAGTCAACAAATTAGGAACTCCCATATATTGTAAGGAGGAATTAACAGCTGAAAAGGTTACTGAGTCAAAGGCCTGAGCCCAATCCATAAAAACAGCGTGAAAAGATTTAGCCTGTCCTTCGTGGACTTTAATGAGACGACGTAAAATGTGAGTCGGCCGAGTAACCGAACATCCTGAACGGAACCCTCACGCAGGCGGAGATGTTATACGCGGTATTGTGATATTTTTTAACGACTTCCGAGTGGAGCCAACTAGCCGGAGCCTTTCCACTGGAGAGGCAATGGTTGTAATGGTCGAGGAGGAACATTCGGAACACATATGGAGCATCCTGAAGAAGTTCTGCAGGGATTTGATCGGGTCCTGGGGCTCTGCGTTTTTTAAGAGAACCCAAGACTATGTGCAGAGTGATGGAGGGAGGGGAGGGGACAGGAAGACGGGCACTCCTGTGGGGATGGCGCCTTCCAAACCTAGGTAACCCGCGAATGTCTCAGCCCTAGCCGGGCGGGAGACCAACTTGCCCTTTGTATTCACTAAGTTAGTGGGAGAGGGACGGACGTCTTTGCGGAGGGAACACGCTGCGCGCCATTGCTGAATGGCGGAACCATGAAAATCCTCTTGAAGATGCTGGAGGATGAACTGTTTTTTGTCCCGACGAGCGAGTTCTTAGTTTTACTACCATGTTGTTTCACTTCCCTGTCTGTGAGATCCGTTTTGTGCTGGAAAGTATTGATAATTTCGAGAGTAGACGGAGAAATCCCGGGCTTCTTAGGAGATACAGTGAGCTTAGCAATGAGCGATTAGGATCAAGGAGAGTTTGATTTTGTTCATCGGAGGAGAACGCAAGTCAGGCGGCAGAGGAGTAGCCAATATGAGGGGGAGAAAGCGCAGCCGTACGGGAAAAAGAAAAAGACCAAGAAAGTTACATTCGTGAACACCCACCCTTTTGGCAAGAGAGCCGACCAACTCGTTGCGAATGACACCAGTGTTCCCGGCTCATTTCTCCAACTTAACATAATGGAGAGTGCGAAAGGCAGCAAGGTACTGCTGTGCACGCTTAACAAGTGGTTGATGAGTGTTGGGAAGGGAGTCACCCAAAACTAGGCGAAGAGCATACTCCGAGTCAGTGTAGACGGTAATATCTGAAGGGGAGGTTGGAATAGTAAAGGAAATAATCAAAAAGTTCGATGAGGGCCTTCAGTTCCCCTATGTTGTTAGAACCCCACACTTCTGGGAGAGTATGAGTGTCAGTGGGGGCAGTTCGGCCGGGTTCATATGAGAGTTCCCATTCCGTTCTTTGTGAGGGCTCCTCTGAGTCCATAGAGCTAGTTGCCGCAAAAACCCAGCCTGCTGGGTTGTCCAGGGAAACAGTTCTATTGTTAGGACAGGAGCCGGTTGTGCACGCAACGACAAAGATTTGGGATGCAGGGGGCGGGTGGAAGGAGTGAGAGGGTCAGGAAATCGGCTTTTGGTAAGAGAAAGGAGATCTGTTTCCAAGACCTTGCAAAAATCTTTGGTGTGAGTGTAGTCACTCTTGTCCTCCCGTACCACAGGAGCAGCTCCGGGTATTTGCAAGAGAGGGTACCAAAAACTGGCAAGTGTCGAGTGTCAGCTGTCAGTGTTAATCATGTGTTGCCATATCGAGCCTTAACAGGCAAAGAGCTCCGAAAGTAACGTGGTGAGCAGGTTGTGATCAAGCGCTGCTCAATTATCGACGTGAGGTGACAACAACTGAGGGTCAGAGCAGGTCATCTCTTTGTAGGTGGCTAATTTTGCAGGAGGAAGGTCCTGTTGAGAGGGAGCATGAAGGAGGCTAACGTAATCCGGCAGATTCCAGGGCCGAGGGAGATCCAACAAGTCATCGGCACAAAACCCTACGGGAGGAGACATGTTTTCGCAAAATTCAGACCGCTGAGTGGAGTCCTCTAGTAGTCCTCTAGGCACTCCAAAAGTCAGGGCTCATGACCGGTAGCAAGAACATGATTATTCGGACTAGCTGGTTCGGCGGGATCATCCTCATGGCCTGACTACAGCATCACAGTTTTCACTGTAGGAGTTGATCGGAAAAGGGCGCGGAAAGCAAGGGGGGCTATTGTGAAGATTCGGGAGCATCCTTGAACATTGAAGAGTCTCAAAGTGTACCTGGTGCTCATGCTGGCACCTGTTGCAGTTAAGGCTGCCAAAGCCATACAATCCTGACAAGGAAAGAGAGACTTAAAGCATCGTCTAAGACACTGCTTCGGGTTCCCTTCTGCCGCGAGTCCCTTGCCGATTGCTTTCTCGGCGCTGTCTGGTGGAGTGTTGGTCGGGGTCATAATTGGAAAAAACCTGCGTATTCCGCCATCGTTCCGGCCGATCTTTTGGAGCTAAGACTTTACGGTAGGGAAGAAACCGGTTTGCGGGGAGCCTCAGAAACCTCCGAAATTCCAATTGTAATTGGAGCTCTGGGCCTGTTGGGAATCTGTACTTCTTCTGGCGTAGTTATCCCTGCGGCCGTTACCATCATCTGCGTCCTGTCCATGCCGATCGGGAGTAACCCTGGGGACGTTCGGAGTGCTTGCCGTTGCCCTTGCCTTTGGAGCCTTCGCCTATATTTCGAGAGCCCTTGGAACCCTGCTTCCCTTGCGACCGTAGTCGTCCATGCTGAGACCCATATCCGCGATTGCCTGCTGGCGGCTGCGGACCAAAGAACCTTGGAAGCTCTTGCTTCACAACGTCAAAGTAGGAGGAGTCGACCAGAAGATAGCATGCGTACTGGAAGTGCTCGTCAGGGAGACGAAAATGCGTGACCGTGCGGCGAATCTGGTCTGCTTCCAAACTCTGAAGAGCCAATCTCTAGCCGCATGAGGGAGCTACTTCTGTCCAGCCCGGAAAGAACATCCTGGCGGATGTGCACCGAAAGGAGATCCAAGGAAGGCTGTAAAACCTGCTCATGTTGCTAAGCGATAACTGTGCTGAGGTTCTCGATGCTTGCCTGTGGTGCCGGGGTTTCTACATGTGCGCCCGAAAGCTCTACATCTGTTGTGGGAGTACAGACCTGGGTGCGAGTGCCGGGGCGCGCGACTTTTCTAAGATTACGAACAGTTTGGTATGCGCGAAGCAATTCTAGGAGTCTTGCAAGGCCTGTCTAAAGTTGGGGTCCATATCGCCCTACGCATTGATCGCCACACGGGTGATACCTGAAGGAGGGCCTCTCGGGGCCTGTTTCTGCTGTTGGAGGTTGCCAACCGAAGCATGGAACAGATCCTCCGAAAGAGTCTGGGGCTCTTTGCCCGTTTTCCGCAGGTGAATCGTAAGTGGTGAGTCGAACCACTTGTGAACCGTTCGTCAATTGAATTGTGTGGGAGATTTGTGGGTTAGGCTCTTGGGAGATCCGTCCTTTGTCTTCGACCATTACCACGCTGGGTGGAGCAGCTTTCGGGGCAGGAGACATCCGCGGAAGGGAAGTCGCTGGCTGCTCTGCCAGTGGTTGCCTGCTGCGCTGCCATGGCTTCTGCTGTTGCGTCGTCCGGCGCGGACTGTGCCATCGTCGAGAGCTAAAGTCACCAAAGAAAGCTTCCGAAAGTTGTGAAAAACCATGCGAGGAAAACGGCACAAAAGAGGAACTGCAACCTTCAAAAGACCGGGGCCACTACCTCACACCTTGAGCCTAGGGCTTCGGGATAGTCTCCTTGATAACGGAGAATCAGACGGAAAACAACATGGAGAATTGTCAGCAGTGTCGACATTCATCACCACGCGATTTAAGGTTTCGGGTTTAGGCTGTCATCTTCTACAGCTAGCCCCTAAACCGCTAAACCATAAACCCTTAGCCGGCCTGTTGGTAGAGCCGAGGTACAGGCGTGTTGCCCTCCTGTTCCCCGCCTTCCACCCCTGGATCGCATTGCTGCGGCTGAGCCTGCTAACCTCATACAAGGTCTGGCTTTGAGGGCTGGGTTTAGGGCTTAGGAGTGTATAGAGCTTAAGGTTGAAGACTTTTTTCGGGACCCTTGCTCGGAGGAAGATCTGCTTGAAATCCAGGTTTGCAACTGTAAAGATTTCACGGTGAAGCAGGCTCTAAAACCTCACTGCCAAAATTGCATGAATCATGCATTGTCCTCTCTGATGGCGCCCACTACCCCTCACACCCCGGTTCCCCTTGAGGTGCGAGTGTCCCTGATCTTTCTGAAGCTCTGCACCGCCGCGAGCACAAGTGCTTTGCTGCTGGGCAGGATGAGGAATGTGGAGCACAACAGTCTGACTTGTCACGCCTAAACCCTAAACCCAAAGCCGGAGACCCACATGCCACCTGGTTAAGCCCTAAACCCTTAACCCCAGATTCCCAAAGCCGAACACCACGACCTAAACCCGCAAAACATCCTTAAGCTTTAGGGTTTGGGGTGTAGGGTTTGGGGTTGAGGGAGCGGGAAGCTCCACATTCTCCTGCAATCTGCTTAGGTTCTTCACGAGTTCCTCCCCGGGTCCTGACTCGGATCCAAACTGTAAAAAGCCGCAGACTCTTGTGGCGCAGCTTGTGCAGAGACATGGCTGCGTATGTGGACCATATAAGGTTGAGGGTTTAGGGTGTTTGGGGGATTTAGGTTTTGTTTATGGTTTGGGGGGCTTAGGGTTTAGCAGTCGCAGTAAGGGTTTCTGTGGTGTTGGTCCAGGGTTCAGGATTTTGGATATGAAGTTTAGGTTCTGGGCTTTGGAGTTGAGGGAAAGGGGCCTGATTTTTTTCAAAAAGGGGGCCCTCAGAGACGCAAGCAAATTCAAAAAGTTCCCACGTAAGGGCCGCCTGCAATTCTCAGCCAACTCTGTCCCTACCTTGAACCCCAAACCCCGAACCCTGAAACCTTCAAGCCTCGCTGACACGAAGAACTGGACCATTCGCACCAGGATTAATTACTCTCATTAGTCATAGTCATGACATGAAAGCCACTTGGCAACCTTCTGTCATCAGGTTGACTGTTTTCGGGCTTGGGGTTTAAGAATATTTGTTTTGGGTGGGAAACGAGTGTGGTGCAGGGACTATGCGTTACGCATGCACGTGGCCTGCCAAGAGAGCCCAATACTTCTTAATTAAGGAATATAGCTTAAGTCACAGTAGGAAGCCCTCTTTTAGTTTAAAGTGTCTTCCTTAATTAAGCAGTATTGGGCTCTCTGGGTATGAAGAAGTGTTGAACAAGTAGTCCAACACAGAGACCTTCGATCTTCCTCAAATAATCCACGTCACCTTCGCGCAAATAGTGGTACCCGAATACCCTAAACCCTAAGCCCCTAGCATGCCCAAAGCTAAGCACCCCTTAGTATTGAATATTGCCGGGAATGTAAGAGACCTTAGATGTTGGCGGACAAAATTAAAATTGAGGGGGTTGGGGTGTGTAGATTTCGCATGACAGGGTAAATGTCCAAAGAAACAGTTGGAGCTGTAATTGTTGCCAGATGCACGGAGGTTGAAAATCCACAAACTTCGAATCCCTGAGAGCTATCACCTGAAACAGTCTTGCGTCGTATGGGAGTTTAACCCTAAAACGTTTCAGGCATGGTGGTTGACGTCAATTCTTCGAATGATTGGCCAGAAGCCCGCATGCAAACCCACAAGCCTCAATGGTCTCAGATTGAGCCTAGCCTCACAGGGCTAGTTCTTGAACAGGCTTCTTTCGAGTGCGTGCACCCAATGCATATAGAAGGGGGGCGGGTGGAGTTCAAGGATGTTGGTTTTTTGGGAGTTCCTCATAAGCACTCTATTGCAACGGGGGCTTGTAGATTATGGTGAGTGAGGCTACACCTGGGTTTGAAGTCCATGCAAACCGCCAGCCGCAATAAACATGCACCAACATGTTGCCGTCAGGATTGCTAATTTAAGTTACCATATTAGGGGATACCCATTATGGTCATTTAATAAGGGTTCCTTAGCAACAGCAACCCAGAGGAATACTGTGGTGGGTGTGGTCTCTGCACTGCTCGGTGACGTGATCGTCTTCGCTCTCTTCTTGGTGTCATGACTGATACAGTCACAAAGTTGAGGTTGTTTAATGTAGGGTGTAGGGTTTAGCCCTATGGTAACAGGCAGGCCTGGGGTAGTAGGTGATTGAAAGGAGAACTGGCATGTCAACGGAAGGAGCTAGCAATACTACAAGAAACAGAAGTGAAAGCATGATTGCAGGAAGTGGAGTCTCGCCAACAAGCTGAGGTTCAAAATCGCAGTCCCATAGAAAAGGACTGCGGCTGGCTCTTCAGATTGTGCTTGTCAGTAGTTGGGGGGCTGTATTACAACATCGAAGGGGCACTATAGCTCTTCAGAAATACCCTAAACCGTGACATTGAACCTTTAGGGCAATAGATTTTGGGTGCCAGGTTGGGTTCAGTGTGTATGGATCCAGGCATGGCCTTTGGAGTTTGCAATGCGTAGCCGGAGCCAAATCCTCCACAAACCTCCCACACAGAAGCAATTCAAATCCTCGCAGCAGTGTGAGGGCAAATCAAAATACTACAACTCTTGAGCACAAGTCTGCTTGGCAGCAGGTATCTTGGCAAAACGGAATCTTGCCTGTGCAAGCCTCTCGTTGTGTTTTGCTGCGGATGCTCCCTTTGTTGCTGCGGCCGCGGGGTTCGGGTTTTACACACTGAATACCCTCAACCCTAAGCCCTAAACCCAAAACCTTAAGCACTGTCACGAAGGCGGCCAGGGCCAGGTTTAAAAAAGATCCGAATCGCTAAACCCCAAGATCTTTCGGACAGCTTTTCTTGCCTTCAGCTGACTTGGGCAACATGCGCAGCACGACCTCTCCCCTCGCCCATTGGCAACAGAGAGTCTTACCCATGAAGGTTTAGGGTTTGAATCAGGGTTGAGGGCCTAGGGTTTAGCATTTCGCTGGGAGCCTCCGCATCCCTTGCAGGCCCCCAGAGTATCTTGGGAGATCTTGACGCAGTTGACCTCAACTGTTACTTTCGAAGGGCATATGCTTGACCACCTGATTCCAGCCACCTGGTATCTTGGGCATTCTGTGAACCCCTCTTCCTGGTGGACTGCAAGCTCCAGTCTCATCTAGGTACGCAGCCGAAGCGCTAGAAGTTGATTTCATAGCCTCAGCTCCAGGAATCCCCACTGCCCCTGAGAGGCTTTTTTGCCAGAGACCCCTTTGTCCAAGGCCTCAACCAAGGAGCCCCAACCAACCTTGCAAACTGCAGGGTTCCTGGGTCCCTGGTAATATAAGCCGAAGACGGGTCCTCTGTCCCCCGTACGTAGAAGCCACAAAATAACCAAATCGATGTTGAAGGAAACCCTTGAAGAAAAGATAGAAACAATTATTTGGAGAAACTCCTCCACAGTGGAGGACTGGACAGAACAGTCGAAGAGGTGGCAGTTGAGGGTTTGGAAGTGCCGAGCCGTGGCATTTTGGTTGATTTGGTTGGTCTATTCGTCGCCTGGCATCGTTTAGGAGCGTTTAGGGCGGATCATGGCTCAGAGACGAGGGAAAAACAAGCAGGCCCATGCATCTTGCTGCAACGTACCCAGAAAATTTGATTAACTGGGCTCATTATGAGAACCTCCGAAAGTTGACGAACAGCCCCGGCCCAAACCCAAAAAGCCCTCCACCTCCAGCCCTCCACTATCAGCCTGGCAATACAGGCTTGTATGCTTGGTCTACACTATGCTGTTCTTGGCGAACGTCCGCCTGGTAGATGCGCAGGGCTGGTTAATGAGCACTGGCATGAGCTTACTCCAGGACATGCTTGGGCTCTTGACTACTAGGTGCGACCACTCCTTCTGTTTCTGTATTGGAGTTAGAATAATTCGTACAGACAGAGTAGTGCTATTGTCAATGAGAAGGCGGCAGCAGCGTTCTCTCACTACTCTTTTCTTTGCTTCTGGACTCATGGCCGACACGTGTCTGCACTGTGAGCTGAAGCCCCCCCCCCCNNCCCCCCCCCCCCCCCCCCACAGGACTTTCCGCACAACCCTCATACAAGCCTACCCCGCCCATGCCAAAGGCATTCGTGAACGAGGTAGTTGGAGGTACGAGGACAACCGTTGTAATTATCGTGCCGTATCGTGCCATTCTGCCAGCGCCACCACCGTCGCCGCCGACGCTGCCGCCTATTCCGCCACCGGCACCAGCGCCAGCACGAGCGGAAGCAGCAGCACCAGCACCAGCAGCAGCAGCGGCAGTCGTAGTAGAAGAGAGTATTCCCAACAAATAGTGTGCGTGTCGCGCTTCACTTTTCCCATGCTGGTCTAAATCTGCCTAAAGTTGAAGGCCAGCCCTTGGTCGAAATGTCCATTCAGGCTTTAAGGAGGTGTTGGCATAGCATGCAGGCAGCCATGCATCATCGCAGGAGCGATTGGAGCCTAGATATTCCACGCACGACCACATATATTCAAACAGACCAATTGATGGTTAGCCGTCCTTCCTGTGTTTTCGGCCACTTGTTGCACGCCACCATACCATACCTGGTTTCCACCACAGAGAGTCTTGCTTCTTGCAAGGTCATACCGTTACTCCAGCTGTTGTTGCTTCCCCCCCTTGGCTACTGTTCTTCAGCCAAATTTGTTCGAGTTGCTGTTTTGCAGGACTTGGTGATACTTCCCTTGTTCCTGGCTTTGGCACTCGGCTTGATGGCATCGGTGGCACTGCTCAGCAAGGGGATTCGCAGAAGGACGGGCTGCTGACAACCTTTTTAGGCAGAGCAGCTACCACATGGGTACTTCCAAGAGTCCCCGAAATATTAGGTGCCGTAATGTACTCTATAACCAAGGTAGGCCCATATGTCGGAGAACAACCCACATCCCAATCGTAAAAGATATTCGGAGCCGGTAGCTTCCCCGAAATTCTGTCAAATGTGCAACTGGCATCTGAGTTCAGATGCGCAGCACCCAAGGCAAAACTGTACAGAATCTGCCGCATCTACTTCCCACAGTGCAAGAGCAAACTCCCAACTGAACTGCGCGGTGCTTAGCAGGTAATGAGGAAATAGTTATAGAACATTTTGGGGGGGGGCTTCCATGGGGACACTACAGGAATATGTCTTTTGTCCGAAAGGTGTTTGGTGGGTGATTGAGCCCTTTCCCTGAACCCTAAACCCGAAACCCTTGTAGACAGACCCTCAAAACCCTAAACTCTAAGAATAAAAGCCCTAAACCCCAAACCCTAAAAATAGAAACCCTAACCCTAAAAATACAAACCCTAACCCTAAAAATAGAAGCCCTAAACTCTAAACCATCTCTCCAGGATTGAAGCGAAATGGCTTGAAGGCTATGCAGATGCCGAGGCTATTGGGAGTGCGATTCAGGGTTTGGGGCTCATGGCATACTATAGTCTTTGTATATTATGTTTACAATCGACCACAGTTTATTTGTAGTATATTGGAGTACATTGTAGTCTGTTATAGTATATTATTGTCTAGAGGGCTTACGGGTTAGGGTGGAGGAGTTAAGGGTTTGGGACTGGGAGGGCTGGTGGGAGGTGTAGGGTTCAGGGCTTGGGAACTTCGGCAGGTTAACCCCTAAACCCTATACCGGTCGGGTTCGAGGTTCCTAGCTTGGTGTGTTATGATGTTTCTCCACCTACTGTACCCCCATGTGAAGCAGGATGACGAGTTGGTCCCTGAATGCCGGTGGTTCCTTGCGGCTGTGGGATGACTTCGGTATTGCTTGGGAGGTACACTGGGCCGTATGCATAAATTCCTTCTGTTTAGAAGATGGCCCATGACCTTTGCTTCAAGCTCAATTCGCATGATCTTAGTGATGACCAAAGGCTCCCAAAGGGAAACCCGTAAATGTGTAATCTCTGCTATAACGACCGTGCCAAATTCCAAACCTTGACCCCTGCGCTCTTGACACTGTTCTACGTGGTTTTCTTTTCAACCGGCAGCTTATTCCAGAGCCCAACAAGCAGTCTACAAGTAGACAATAATTTAATCATCTCCCACCAGGCAGCTAGGGGCCCTCAACTCGAAACCCTGAATCCTAACAGTTAATCTCTCTTGACACTAGTGCTGGACTTCCGTGGGAAATTCAAGCCTCCCCAGCTGCGAGGAGCAAGGTAGCAAAGAGCCAGAAGAGGCAAGAGCGGATAGGATTGAGGATTTAGGGTTTAGGAGTTGCGGTTTAGGGTTTGGGGTGTAGGTATTGGGTTTTAGCGCCTGGGAGTTCAGCGTTTTTCCCTTATTCGCTGGACTTGGTTCATCTTTGACGGGGTCTCAATACCTCCATTCACATCCCTAAACTTCTTCATGCTGACTTGCGAATCGGGGAAGGGATTTAGGGTTTCCCAAATTAGACCTACCATTTTGGGGGAATCAGTATCTTGGGGTGTATAATTGGGGTTCCCCCTATGATTTTGGGAACAACCATTTCTTCTAATCAAAGAAAGGACGCTCGGAACCAGTCCCCTCTTAATTCAGCAAGAGCTTGTCAGGAAGGGTAGGGTTCGGGGTTTAGGGGTTTGGGGCTTAGGGGTTCAGGGTTTGGGGTTTAAAGTTCAGGGGTTTAGGGTTGAGGTAGACTTCCTCACTCATTGTTGCCAGTCCATTTTGCAAAACGTTGAGGGCAGGAAATTCTCAATATAAATATCTGCTAGCCCCCCCCCCTGGACCAACCTTTCACATGAAATCTTATAGACTTTCAAAGGTCCAGAACTCACGATACTATTTTTGAGTTCCAGAAATCTTACACCTGCCTAAAATTTCCGAAAATTCCAAAAATTCCAAAAATTTCCAAAAATTCCAAAAAATCCGAAAGAAGTTTTGGAATTTCGGAATTTCGCAATCCAAAACCTAGGTCTGGATTTTTTGGATTTTTTGGAATTTTTGGAATTGTTGGAATTTTTGGATTTTTTTGGATTTTTTTGAATTTTTGGAATTTTTGGAATATTTGGATTTTTGGAATGTTTTGGAGTTTTTGGAATTTTTGGAATTTTTGGAATTTGTGGAATGTTTGGAATTTCTTGGAATTTGGTGGCTTTTTGGATGTTTTGTGTTATTTTCGGAATATGAGGATCAATGTTCTTTTTGTAAACATACCATTTCTTACATGGTCTCTAACTTTATATGCCCACCCCCCTGAATATATGAGCGGGATTAGATATAGGCTAGACACTACAACTAAGGTTAATACTCCTACGCAATAGAACTCATATTCATATATATATATATTAAGCATAATACTAATACTACGAATAAAACCAATACTAATTCCAGCATTGACAGTACTATGAATACTAATACTTTCACTGATTCACGAATATGAACACTCGTAGTAATACTACCAGTGAAGCTAATATTGGTATTAATATTTGTAATCAACTGATACCAATACTAGCATTAATAGCAAAACTAATTCTAGTGTGCAAATGAATGACCCTACGACTACTTATAATCGTAGTCTTATTAGCAATATTCATACCCATACTAACATACATACTAATGTGTACCAATGCGAGTGCATATATTAATATGAGTATTACTCCTGCCAGTCAAATTATTCTTTTTCTTATTATGCTTAATATTCATATATTAATATTCGTACTCGTATTAATACTTTTAAGTATGTAGGTTAATGTTAGTATTAGTTCTTACTAACATTTATTTTCAGATTGATAATATTCCTACGAATAAACATTTTTGTATTCATGTCAATACCAATCTAAATACTAGTATTAAAAATATTTCTAATACTTACACGAATACTAATTTTTGAAATGCACACTAATACTCTTACGAATACTTATACACATAGTGATGTTAATACTGTGAATATTTGTGTTCCTACGAATACTACTACTCATATTCATATTACCAGAAATATGAATACCAATATACATACTGACGCTAGTACTATTTCTCTTAACAGTTATATCAATAATAAATAGCACCGTTAATATTCACACCAATATACATACTAGTGCTTATATCAACGCAAATACGTATATTAAGGTAAGTACTACTCCTATGAATACTAACACTGATATTCTTATTAAGCATAATACAAATGTATTAATATACACATTCATATTAATACTAGTTCTGCTTAAGGTTTATTTCAGATTAATAATATTCCCACGAAGAAAAAATCGTATTCATATTGGCATTAGTTTTAGCTCTAGTATTAGTTTGAAAACAAGGTATGGACAATTGTACTAATACTGATTTGTTCAACACAAATGCTCTCACGAATACTTACATTCATAGTAATGTCAATACTAGGAACAATTGTGCTCCTACGAATACCAACAATGATATTCATATGTCTCGTAACATAAATACCAATATAAATACTCATACAAATATTGATACCAATACTATTGTTAATATAAGAAGTATTAACCTTCGTGCCTATAGTAATACTCTTTTGATTTCGTATTCTGAATATTTATATCAATGTTAACAGGGTTTTAATACTGATATAAACACTTACATTGACTACTGTATACGAATATACGTCTTACGAAAATGAAATACCACCACATGCGCTCAACGATGTACTAAAGAATCAGTATTTTCATGTACCAATGTACCATTATACCACTATACTATACTAACTATACCAATATACTAATATACTAACATGCGAAAATAGTAAGTATCCTAATATGCTAATATACATATATTAATACTAAGACTAAGACTATAAGACCAGTACGAATACTAACACGAACACTGGACAAATATTACTAGTGATTTATCAACTTATAGTAAGGCTAGTATTTATACTAATATTGATACTAATACTAACACTGCGATTAGCATTTACATTGACACCAACACTAGCATTAAAACTGACAATATCTTCGTCTCGACGAATGGCGAGCATGGAGACTGATGAATAGAAGTCTCTAAGAGACCACCTGAGTGTATGGCTTGAGAAGAAAGCATGTTGAAAATACTGCTGGACGCTGAGAGAGAACAGGGGAGTACGTAATAGCACGAGGAATAGAATCACGAAGTTGTAACATGTTTTTTGAGACTGTATTACGACTCATATGAGCTTAAGACCATAAGAACCAACACAGAATTTATCGGTATTTACAGGGTTTTCGATATCAATTCGCAGCAACACAAATGCAGACAAGATCCGTTTCATGGCGGAGGTTGGTCCAGGGGGGGGGGTTTACCAAATATCTATATAACCCTATACAACCCCCCCCCCCCCTATATAAATATAGTCCCTTGTAGATCAACCCCTTTAAGGGACTTTGGGCTACGGCCCATGCTTGGAGTATCGCGGGGCTTATTATGGGGGATACTAGGAGAGTATCTTCGTTAAGGTTCCTTCAGGTGGATAACACAGCATGAGCCACCATGCAGTACACTGTAGATGTCCAGGGCTCAGTGCAGGTGATGATAATGATGACGATGATGATGCTGATGATGGTGGAACTGTAACCTGAACGAGACAAGTGCGGCATAACAGGTCAGTCGGTCTCGTATCGCCCACGTCCCATTAGCCCCCCCCCAACCTCTCCGAGAAAACAAAGCCTCACCGTCTACAATCCGCAAGTGATTGAACTCGAGGCCTTGAAGTTTTCCCTAGGCCCTAAACCCCTAAACCCCAAACTCCCCCAAAACCCAAAACTCTAAGCCCTCGAAGACCCTTGGGTTCAGACAGGAAGCTCCTCCCAGTCGTCGCAACTCCAATACCTCCCAGATCTCTGAAGCAGGACTTGAAGGAGGTTGGGATGCAGAGAATGTAGGGTTTGGGGGTTTAAGGACTTAAGGGGTTAAGGGTTTAGGGTGTGCGAGTTTCAGGTTTGGGGAAAAGGGTTTAGTTAAAGCTTAGGGTTCGGCGGGCATCAGGCCACTTAGGGTGCGCTGGTAAAGCTTTAGCGCTCAGGCTTTAGGCTTTCGTGTGGATTCGGAGAACGTTTACTTTCGATACAGTTGGCGCAAGAAGCAGAAATACAAATTATCATCCTTACTGGTATTCTGATCACCTGTACTACTCTGCTTCGCGCTCATTACTTATTACCCATTGCTCATCGTTTGTTACTTATGATTACCTAGTATTGTTGCTATTGCTTATTCCCCGCTCTTACATGCTGGCATTGCTGTTGCTAGTGCTTCTACTGCACGCACTAGTATTGCGATGAGGAGGAGGACGAGCAGGAGAAGGAGGAGGAGGAGGTACCAATCCTAAAGATAATAGACTGTAACAAGGTCCTAATTTTGGGGTCGGGTCACCAAGATCCCTTTACTTCCATTATAGTATAGTATAGCATATTATAGTATAGTATTGTATGTTATATTATATTATGTTACTGATGGCACATGGGTGATGTGGATGGCCCCTCTTTGCATTCTTCTGCACATGCCCATGTTCTGACTGAACTCTGAGATGCCAAGGACCTAGACAGTGCGCATGATGCCCCAAAGCCCCTTGTCAATAGTTTTTTAAGGTTACAAGTAGTTGCCCCTACTATGGGCTCTGAAGCTTTTTTGGGTGATTCTACGGACCCGTACGGGTACATATAGTGTATATAGGAGGTCAAGAAGGATGCCAGGGTTAAGGGCCCAGCGGCTGGGGCCACTCACATGAAGGGACACAAGAAAAGACCACCCATGCAGATGGAGTGAGACAAAGGGAGACAAGTGGAGGCAAGCTTTCCAGAGACGCGGCCAAAGCCACCCACATGAAGGGAGACAATCGGACACAAGCATTCGATAAACCCGGTCCGAGGCCACCCACATAAGAAAGGCAAAGGGAGCAAGCAGAGACAAGGATTGCAGGAACCCGGCGGGGAAGCGTCCGGCTAGGCCAGAACTTTCGAAAAAACAGACAATTTGCAGTCCATTGATTGGGGGACAAGGGGGAGACCAGCAGAGACAAGGATTCCACGGACTCGGCCGAGGCATCCGGCTTGGTTGGACCCCTACAGTAAACTGCTTGGGGAATGAAAGCCTATCAACCCGCCTCTTTTTTTCTCTTGATGGTGGTTAGTAGTGCATGAAGGGATAGGAACTCCCCACAAGATCCAGGAAACCTGTTGATCCGCTCCCTCCGAATCACCCATGGGCTTTGCAAATATCTGGTTGTCATACCAATCCTTGCCCACTGGGAATCCAATG